TTAGCATGTCACTGGAGTGGTTCTGATAATCGTCTGGGGGAATCTGTTCACTCAGCTCTTGGGAGATGTGCCAGTGTAACATTACCGAGAAGCCTTGTCTGCAATGTCATTTAGACAGATATGTCTGCTTGAACTGTGAACCAGCTACTGAGGTGCTGCTAAGAGTTTACACACAGTGGGGCAGAGCTCAGCCTTGGCCAGTGGCCTGAGGGCTTATCCAGGATCTCTGGTGGATTTGCAGCTCTTTGTATAAAGATAGTGTTCCTTTGACTATGCTTCTGATATATTTGATGTTTTCTTTCTAACATTAGGCATGTCTACACCAGCTGGAGTGTGAGCTGTGGGTGCTGCCTTGCAGATAAAATGTAGAGCTTATTTCCACAAAAAATCACGGAGGGCACTCTATCTCCAAAACTATGTGTTTAAATTAGGGAAATTTATGGAGGAAAAATCTGTCCGAATCTATTACGCATGAAGATATAGGTACAAACTCCTGTCTCAAGAAATCCTTATGCTGCACGTAAGGAAGCAGAAAGGATACAGGAAGAAAATTATCGCTGTAAGTGTTCCATTTCTTTCCTAAGCATCTGCTATCAGGAAATCTCAGAGACAGGATACTGAGCTAGATGGATATCAGCCTGACCCAGCAGGGCTCATTCTTATGTTGTATTTATTTATCTAAGAAGGATGGGGAGGGAGCCATTAGCTCATTTTTACTTCGAATACGTTCCTTTGATTTTGAATGAGGGATATCTTTACCATAATACCATGGAGGAAGATACCTTGTCAAGAAGATGAAGGAAGACTGTGAATTAACATGCTTCATCACCCCGCTCAACAGGCCCAGGAGGCAAACACTGTGTCCTCTAGCTCTTGAACAACACTGCCAAAACTATTTTCCAAACTTTGTAGGTTGAAAACTGCTATATTTGAGAATGATTAGAGCCGTTTTATCTTAGTTTTTGGAGAGAGACCAGTGCAAGAGCCTGTCAATCATAGAGAAAGCTAGTCTATGGGTCTGACACTTTACAGATGCATACTGTGTGACAGCTGCAATGAATCAGGTTATTAGAGGGACTTTCTGCTCCCTAAAGCTTATTTATTCCTGCCTTTCTCAAAAGGGGTGGGGTGGGGAAGTGTAAAGCCTATCAATGAGATAGAGGAGAGGGCCCGAAGCCAGACAAACCAAAACATTTAGAGATTCTGCTAATGCTACGAAGATGAAAGGAATCCCCAAATAAAAAGGAGCCAGAGACATATTTAGCAGAGTCTCATTCCTAAAGAGCCAATTGGATGTAGGCAGGAAGGTCTCCACGCACGTCTCAGAAGTTGTTTTCCCTTATAAAGTAATGGCTTGTAATGTTACGAGCAAAGGGGTTACTTTATTCCCAGTTTTCTATAGCAGTTGGGATAAGACTGCAGCTTCTGCCCTCCTTTGCCAAAAAATTATGGCATCTACGAACTGGTGCATGGCCTCTGAGCAGGCGCTCTGCAGGCTGGCTGAAGCCCATTTCCTAGGCCTGGTGGCTATACAGCTCCTGCTGCTGTGGAGTCCCAAGCACATTTTGTGTCCGTATGACAATCTGCACAAGTTACTGAAAAACAAAGAACTTGACTTAAGGAACATGTAGCTAAGAGTTTCCACTGATATCTTGAAAGATGCATGAAGTCAGTGGGGAAGTACCCAACTGCACAGGAGCTTTGCTAGTATCACTATAAAGAGAGCAGGAAAAGGGTATGGAAGAGGCACAATTATTTTTTTCCACATATTTTCCTTTCTCTGATCATACTCTGGACATGCTGCTGTGATGGAGGCGGCAAATGGTTTAGCATGGACAAACAGAGAAGTTCTCAGGGGAAGCCAAATAAAACCTGTAGTTTTTGGCTTTGGATGCAATGAAAGAACTAGAACCTCGGGATATAGACACACCAGGCAAATTGCGCTGTGGTGGTTTCCACACAAATGGGTGGGATAAGTACTGAAAGATAGGCAGCAGAAAGTGGTGATGGAATTGGCCTCCAGAGGGGAAGCTAAACTACTTTCAGAAATTGTATTGTATTCTTTTTCTTGCAAAATTTTTTTTTTACATATATATATTTGGGCTAAGCTGGTATGTGTCCGTAGCTACAAAGGAGGCTTCAGAGGTTTGATCCTCAGCATTTAGGCTTGATTCTCAGAAGACTTGTTCTGTTCAGTTCTCTTTAGGTTCTTGTTCCTGTGTCATGCTAAGTACATCCTCCCCTTCCCCCCACCACTCTGGCAATCACCTATGTTGCTGAGAAGAAAGGTATAAACTACTAATACCATTTTTTCCCACGTGTTTTTATCTATAGTAATATCTGTGTGACCGTAACTCGAGCATGGAATCACTAAGAAGAAAAGAAATACCTATATTCTGTAATGTCCCTCGAGCCGGACTGACCTCATTTCCTTGCATAGTTCGCCTGTTTGCCTGCCTTCCTTCCTGCCCCGGCACCTTCCATAACGTAACGCCCCAGAGACGAGCTGCCTGCTGAGCGCTGGCTCTCCGTTGTGTGCTGGAGGCATGGTTGTGCAGCATCTCTACATTTTTCCTGTGCTGTTCCTGTGTATCCATCACTGTTGCTCAATCAGCCTCTGGGCTTACTTCTCCCTTCTAGTCTGCATAGCCCTGTCTCTAACAAATATCCTTCTTATGGTAGGTCCCTCCAAACAACTGGTGTTTCCTCTTTATCGCCGTATCAACAGCTGCCTGCTCTGAATGAGCCTCTGTGTCACCTGTATCTTTTTCATGAGCACCCTCTGGGGATTCCCACATCTTTGGTGCCCATGACAGGCAAGGTGATGTGTAATCCCCACCCAAATAACCATTCCTCGTAGCAGCCAAGGGGCTGCTGCTGCCATCATTGCCACCACTGGTGATTGTGGTACACATCAGGCTAAGTTTACAGGAACTGTGAGGAAGCTTAACACAGGTACGAAGGTGTCTGTGGTATCTGTGTGGCCACTGCCTCCTATAATATCCACACACCCTCTTGTAGAAGACCGTTGCCTGTATTTCTGGCTATGCTGAGGTGCAGTGTGAATGGTTTACCAGTTCTACTGAAGGATTGTTTACTTGGCTCTGCAATCTCATATGTGCTGTATCCACTAGAGCATCATTACCAGTAAGCTTTTTTGGGAGTGTGAACCTCTTCTTATTAAGGTGAAGAGTTTGGATTCTTTTGGATCTTTGTCCTAGTCTTGGTATTTCCAAGAAGTAGTAGATGATGCTTCTGAAAACCTTGGATTATGTTTCCTCCAATCTAGGAGGTAACTGATGTTTGTATCAAAATCGGACATGATACTGCAGTGAAGGGTTCTGCTGCATGAAATTCTCCTTCCCCTTGACCTGAGTTCCCTGATCTAATACCATACGTTCTATGTGAGGTACATAATTTTTCTCAGCTGTGTTTTTGAGTGTTGTTTGAAAGCAAAGAATTTGGTTTTTGCTGCCCTTTGAGTGTCAATTGGAGATATGCAAAAAAGGCTTGTTTATATCCTCTGTTGTAGGTTGCTTACCTTGGTGGGGTTTTTTCATTTTCTTTTTTTTTTTTTAAATATCTCTTATCTTTTGCCTCAATGCTGGAAGTGAAATAATAAATAGCTTTTGCATGGCTCATGTTCCAATGTTTGTTAGCTTCTGTTTCTGACCCTCAAAGGCAGTTACATTCCTTAAAAGTTCCTTTCCTTAAAAGTTAAATTCCTTTTGGTCTTCAATCCATAATTCTGCCTATCTGCTATCTCTACTAGTGGCCTAATCGTTATAACCTCTACATCAGAAAAACTCCCACTGCAGTTGTATGGGAGATTTTCTTGCATTAAGACTACTCAATTAGCAAACACTCTGTAAGCAAACACATGGTGCCCCTCCCCACTGTAACAAGACTCGCAAAGCAAGGATCTCACATCTTTCTTGGCTTGTATGTATAGAGCAGTTTTGAATTTGTAATGGTTTAGTATTGGAGTTTAGAGATGCTGATTTCTGGTCTTTAGTACAAACTTAATGACAAAATATTGTTGACTATGACAGGGCTGCTTCGCTAGAATCAGGGAACAGCTGGCTACAGCTGTAAAAATCCAGTCCTGTGCTGAAAATAACTTGTACAGTGAGAACCCTTGCTTTATTTACTAAAAAGATGTTCAATGGAAAAGTTAGAAGGGCGTTATAAAATTTAACAACTTTATTATGAACCATGTGAGATGAGTTTACCACAGTCCAGACTTGTGGCCATCAGTGGAGTAGCAGTAGGGGTGAAGAACCCATGGGTCCTAGGGTTTTGAAAATAAGCTGACAGAGAAACAGGATGGATTCTAACCCATCGCAGTCCAGGGGGGATCATAACAATCTTTTAACAGAACGTTTTCACAACCTTCAAAGACTTCACTGTGAATCCTATACAACAGCAGGTACTTTTTTCACTACCCTTAAGCCTATGGGCAATATTTAGCATACAAGCAAAATGCTGAGCGTTTAAAGAGACTTCTAGCAAAATTCAGCAGCTGTTTAGCTTGCCAGAAATATTTTCATTGTTTTTGTCAAAATCTTTAATGAAAGCAAAGTGTTTCTTTAAAAATGCCTTCACTGTTATAAATGACTGCTCTTGCAATTTATTTCTCTGCCTCTTGGACGTTACTATGGAGGCCTGGACCTCTCTTATTTGAACACATGCTCCTCCTGCCAGAGGGTGTCTATTGCGGGCACACTCTGTCTTTCTGTATTTTAGCAACTCTCCTGAAGTTTTAAAGTGTTTATCTTACACAGCTGAAAGTCTCCTCCTGTTTCATGAGCTCTACACTGGAATGCAGTGGAAGAGACCCAGGGCCTGTGGCCACCCAGATTAGAGGTTTTTGTAATAAGGTCCCTATATGGTTTTGTTAGAGACTTCAGCTCTGTCTCTGTCTGTCTCTGCTCCTTGTTTGGGAGGCTAGTGGGAGGAGAAGAGCTGAAGGGGCTATATAACTTCAGAGCTTTCAGAGCGCACCATCCCAGAGCAGCTATCCCCAGCCAAGCACTGTCAGGGTAAGTGGCACTGAACCAATAGCATGATTTACAGATTGCTGGAGGACTTCAATTAAATAACGTCAAATGGAAGCTATTCAGGAGGATGTACTGCTGTGCTGTAGTTTGCTTAAGCAAACTTACTTACTTATTAGAATTGCATTGATAAAATGCTTGTGATATCTATACTGAGTTGTATTTATTTTATAGCACTTCTGAAAGGGAAATAAAAGTTCTACCTGATGATTTTCCTGATTCCACCAGCACTCCAGCATAAAGACACAGTGTGTGTAATGCCATGGCTGGAATTATAGCTATATTAATGTTCAAATGAACCCGTGTGACCCTGCAGTGTTAGTTTTGTGCAGAACAGAGTTCCTGAAGGAGGGAATGTGCCCACTGTGTAGTAGGGTTTCTCAGCAGGTTTGCTTCAGTGCTGTTAACTCAGTTAACAGTGAGTGTTTTGGGAATGTGACTGTAAGAAGAGCTGGAAGTATGCAAAATAGCAGTGTCTAATAGGATACAATGAGGATGCATGTGTATTTGTCCTTGTCTCTATGTATATGAAACTACTGTTCTGTAAAATGCCAAACATTTCATTAAAGAACAAGCTACACACAGTATTTCTTGTGGGGCTGGAGTTCTCTTAGCAGCTTGTTGTGGAGATTGGTGAGGTGATTGGTTATCTTTAGATATAAAGCAGGTAGAAGAAAGAGGCTAAATACTGTACTAATTACTTGGGAGAAAAATTTCCTTTTTTTCCACAGTGCTGAGTGATATTTGTTGCTCTAAGATGTTACTACTGCATGCCATGGCAGTCCTGAGCTGGCTGGCAGCAGAGCGCCCTGTCTGAAATCATTCAGCTTTGATTTTTCAACTTTCTGTACTTTATTACTAAATATGGTTTTCATTTAGAGTCCACTAAGCTCAGAAATGTAGCCTTTCCTGCCCCCTTCTTTCCCCTCCCCCAAGTGATTTTTGGCATTGCATTAACTGCATGGGTTTGAGCAAACCCCCTGACCTCGAACTCTGTTCCAAAAACAGACGGTTGAAAAGCCTATTTCCTAATTAGGAAATGGTTTGTCCAAACCAGTCTGTTCATTCATGTTAGATAACAATTGTACTCCATTCAGTAAATGTTTGAATATAAAGAGCCTGTTTTCCCAGGAGTTTAATAAATACAAAAATTGCAACCTACTTTCCTTTCCCAATAACAATGATAAAATATCTGGAGTACATCAAGTTAGGATTTCCCTCTCCTTGTCTTCTCCTGGGAGCTATGCCCAAGCAGCCTGCAGGAGCGGGGCTGCAGCTGTGTCTCATGGCTGCCTGGCTGGGGAGAGTCGGAGAATCTCAAATAAGGGATTTGGGAGAACTGTCCGTGCTTGTTCTAGGCGATGTAGAGGCTAAACAGATTGTGGGCTCCTTTGCTTATCAGCCATGGCTTTTGCTGACCCCATTCCCACTTTGTCCTACGCTTCCAGTATTCCTGTGGCAGAAGGTTTCGAAGCCTGCTGCAGAGCCAGCTGGTCTGTGGATGACAGCTGTCTCCTTTAGCTGTTAACGCTGCAATTTGTTGAACTCTGCATGGAAGCCCAGGCTCAGAGCTAGCCAAGTGATTCCCTACCACACTATAAATTGCGAGCAAATAGTTCTTCTTGAGTCCTGGTATTCAGTGCTTGTTTCTGTAATTGACTTTAATACAAAGCCTTCAAAGCATTTTTATTGCTCATATTATCTTCCTTCTGCCAGAGGAGGAAAACAGTTTCTTTTTACTGAGACAAGGAGCCAACATAAATTACTCTGACACTCTACAAATGCAGTTTATTAGCTCCTTTGAAATGGTGATGGATCATATGCTATGGCCTGTTTTTAAAACATATATTGTCCCTGACTTCATTTTAAAGGCAGGTTATTTTTTCTGAGTGACTAGGGGAGGGCTGGAAAAGGCTTTTTTTTTTTTTCCTTTTTAATTGGGAACATTTCTTCTTTTTAAAAGAGTTAAATGTAAACTTAATTGGCCATCTTGACCCAATGGGTTAATATCTGCATCAGGAAAACAGCACTGGTGCATGCCTAGCATTTAATGTGGTTAGTCTTTGGGAAGCCCAAGACTGAAGTGCTCTTACCTTTGACAGCTTTCCACATGTGTCAGGATTTTGTCAGGCTTATAGAAAAGTGGGGGAAGTTGTGCTGAATTCAATGCAAAGGGATCTTTGTTTTTGCAGCTGTCAGTCCAGTGTTCTCTTTTATCTCCCACCCACCCCCAGCCCTGGATTTCTATAACTAAATTTAGATAAACATTTGCTGCTCCCTGATCTGTCTGCCCGTGCCGCAGGACTAGAAGTCTCCTCTGGAATCCCCTGGATAATCTCTAGTGCATACAGCCCTCCGGCAGACGTGGTTGAAACCTCTCGCCCTTTCAAAAGGAAGCCCGTTCCCTCGTATGGCCCTGCAGGCCTTGTGATTGCCAAGCCGGTGCCATACCTCTCTTTGCTGGTGCTGGTTGTTTTCATACAGCTGTCTCTATCTTCAAGGATGGGTCTGCTACCTGAGTATGGGATTTTTTTGGGGTTTTTAAAAAATTCTTTCCTGCTGTTTTCATAGGGCCGTTTTCTGTCTGGAGGGCCTGAGGACGTTGACGTAGAAGATGTGCGAGGAAGAGGACAGCACTGCCCTTGTTTGTGACAATGGGTCAGGGCTCTGTAAAGCCGGCTTCGCTGGGGATGATGCTCCAAGAGCAGTTTTCCCTTCCATTGTGGGTCGTCCCAGGCACCAGGTGATGAAAACTGCTTTGGTTATCCCATACTGTAGAAGGCTTTTCTGCCCCGTCCCCAGCCCTCCACCCCAGAGCCACCTTATCCTGTGTTGGGGACTAGCCCAGCCCTGGGTGATCTGTGTAACACAGCATTTCCAGGCAAAATGAGTCCAGCAGTGCACTCACCTGAGTCAAAGCAGTCCTCTTGCCTTGTGAGACGAGTCCATATGTGCCCTCTTCTTCCTGTCCCTTAATTTTGGATTACCCAGAGAACTTGGTGAGCAAAGCTAGCTTAAAAAAACCACAAAAGCCCAACAAGAAGTATCTGGAAATTTTGACTGCCCTAAAAACTGATGATAGGTGATGTGTGGAAAATTAAAGGAGGAAGGAGAAGTTTTCAGTCAGCTTCCTATTAACCTTCCTGACATTATTCATTTAGCTGTATCACAAATGGGCATCTGTCTAGGTTTGAGTTTCTTTAGCTTCAAGGTTTACATTTGAGTATATGATGCATTCCAGTCAATTTTAATAGTTTGCAAAATATATATGTTATCTGAGCTGTTAAATACAGAGAGTTTCTGAGCCAGATCATGATTAGCATGAACTAGAGCAGTTTGGCTAGGCCATGACAAACTAATCCTCCTAATTAGTAGATCCACCTAATTGCTTCTATGCCATCTAAGGACCTGGTGAAATGGGAAGAGGTAAACTGGTTGTAAGATGGAGTGCTTTATATACCCAGCAAATACATTTTAAGCTCTTCAGGGCAGAAGAAATGTGTGCCTAATTGAGGCCTCTGGGCATTAACATAATTGAAAAAAAATATTCAAATGCCAGCTTCTGTAGATAGTGTGAATGGTATTAATTGCTCAAAAGCAAGCCATACAGTCGCAGTGGAAACAAATACAGCAGATTTCTAGAACCTTTCTTTCCTGATCACGTATCATGGATAGCATTAGTGCCCTGAAGGAAGGATCATCCCATCATAAATTGCAAATCCAGCTTGCTTGTTTCTAAGACAGGGCAGTTAGAGATACCCTAGTCTGGAGTGTGTAATGATTAAGTTCTGATAAGAGTATCATGCACTCAAAGCATCCTACTATATGCTATTTTTTCCAGTATTTCTAACTTTAACATAGAGATTACTGTATATCCAGAGTAGTTTCCAGCTTCTGGTCCATGGACGATTTCTACAGGATCCATGAAAATACCTAAAAAGAAGCCTGTATCAGTAGATTTAAATTGTCTGTATCTAATGGCAATATTATAGTGTTCAAAAAGAAGATTAAAAAAATGTTGAAATTTAAGCTTTGGGAAATATAAAGCGTGTATTGCTCCATCTTGATCCTTACATGGCACAACATCACTTTCTGCTTTTATTCCACGTTATTACAGTTTAGCAGACAGTTCCTCCCTAAATAATAACGGACATTAAACCAACCCTATTTTTCCACTTTATCTTGATGAATTTAACATTGTACTTGTGCTGTGTACTTAAACTGTACTGGAAACATGAACTCCAGAGGTTTAAGTGAACTGAACATTTAATTTTGGAAATTAAAAAGCAATGAGTAATTCTCCATTCATTAGTATTCGTAAAGTATTTTGTAACTAGTATCACTGGCAACTAGATTTATTTCACAGCTAATGTTCTGTCTACTTTGTGACACCTCTCCTCGAGAGACTAACTCCATTTGTGTTATTTTATAGGGTGTTATGGTTGGTATGGGTCAAAAAGACAGCTACGTAGGTGACGAGGCTCAAAGCAAGAGGGGAATCCTGACCTTGAAATACCCCATAGAACATGGCATCATTACAAACTGGGATGACATGGAGAAGGTATTTCAGCTTTGAAAAGTTGATGTGTATCACTGGTAAACAGAAATACTTGAACCAAATGTTTACAGAATACCCACTAAATTTTGGATGGAAGCATCATGCTATCAAGTATGGTTTGACGAGAAGATTGTTAACAACAAAGGTTAACTTGCATCTAAAGCTGAAGTATCACTAGGAGTACATTAAAATAGTTATTGGGAGTTCTTTTACTCCAGTATGATCTATACATGTTTGCATTAGCAAAGGAGGGGGAAGAAAGAAGGAAAAAAAAAAAAAAGGGAAAGAAAAGGAATATCCTCAATTTGCTAGTAAAGAAATGGAATTTAAGAAGGTATCTGTTTCTGCAAAAATGCAAAGCATATATGTAATTTTGATGTGAAGGGCACTGTTTACACACGTACTTTTTAATGCTTGAAAGATTAGCAGTATTGCAGTGCAATGCGTCCATTTCAGAGCCAGTATTTGGATGAAAGGCTTCCAGAACCATGTTTACAGTCGTAGTCTGTATGGTTGATGTAATTTCTAAGATGGTATTTCTATTTAATATTGTGCTGTGGAAATAGGGCTATTTGGAACAGCTGGGACATCACAACACACTGCAAGTGTGTGGAGCCACGCAGGACTTACTGACTCTCATAGCATTGTACGTTTTACTTGGAAAGACTGCAAAATCTTTCAGATGCCTAACCTATCAACCAGTCTCTAATCACCACCAGCTTGAAAACAAACTTAGAAAAAACTTTTTGGTCTTTAGAAAGTCTCTGATGGTTTTACTTCTTATTGGTGTATTAACCTCCTCATTGCGGTCCACTTGGCCCTAGATTTTTATAGCTGGTAGGAATGAGCCGTGAGGAGGTGATAAACACAAGGTGGCTTTCAGCCTCACAAACCATTTGTCTTCATTTCTTTTTATGAATTCTTGGGCTGGCCTCTACAAACCAAAAGATGAAACTGTTTTCAAGAGACCCATTATCTATTGAGCTCTACTGCATACGTCTGTGTATATTCTAGAGTTGTTCTGGAACTGTTTAACTTTCAATCATTATTGAAATAGTGTTGCTGGAACCGAGTCTGTCCTGCTCTGTCTCTTCTACTGTAAGAATAACGTATTTATTCTCATTAACTTACGTGTCTTAAAAGAAGTCATATATTACTAGCAGGAAAACCTGGGGATAGTGGTTTTCTTTCTCCAGTTGCTTTGGTAATCTCTGTGACGGCAGTAAGAACAACTGCATGAGAAACATTACTAGCCTGTCTCTAGGGCTGTAAGCAGAGTGCTGGAGCACAATACCTGTCTGGAAGTGATTCTCAGCTGCTGGTTGATAGTGGTTCTTTCCTTTGGCTTCTCCCATTGTTCTCAGATCTGGCATCACTCTTTCTATAATGAGCTCCGTGTTGCACCTGAAGAACACCCGACTCTACTGACTGAAGCACCACTGAATCCCAAAGCCAATCGAGAAAAAATGACCCAGGTAAGCTCACACTGAGGCTATGGAATAATTCCAACTTTGTGAATTCAACAGGATGTGAACTTCATCATTTCAGTTAGTCATGCTGTCCAGTAGTCTATATCTCTTAGTTATGGAACATGGAAAGTGCATAGTGACCACCTGTCATATTTGCATATTATTACATTTACTTTAGAAAGTCAGTGTATCGGCTTTGAATGTGAGTACTTCAGTCTGTCCAAGCTTTATGTCATCTTAATCTGTTTTTATGCCCAGGCCTATTACAAAATTATCTTTGATATGTGCATGTGTCTATATTCATATGTTAAAGATATAGACCAGATACAGGGAGATGTCTTATAGGACAAATATTTTTGGATTTAGATTTTGAATTTTCCCTCCTTGTTATTACGAACCATCAAGAAATACGAAAATCTTGTCTTGTCCCTCTCTTTCAGTATATTGCTTCAACTAAGCTAAAACCCCTAGTGTTAAGGCAATTATTTTAATTGCATTTCAGATTATGTTCGAGACTTTTAATGTGCCAGCCATGTATGTAGCTATTCAAGCCGTCCTGTCCCTCTATGCTTCTGGACGTACCACAGGTAGGGCAACATGACATAGACATTTGAAATAGTTAAGTGTGTTGATGTGTACCTGGGAATGAATCGTGTGTTATCTTCTCAAAGGGATTGTGCTTGACTCTGGAGATGGTGTCACCCACAATGTGCCAATTTATGAAGGCTATGCCTTGCCGCACGCCATCATGCGTCTGGACCTGGCTGGCCGTGACCTGACAGACTACCTCATGAAAATCTTGACGGAACGTGGCTACTCCTTTGTGACCACTGGTAAGGGCACGCTGCTGACTGAGGAGGAGAGTTCTTTAATGCGCAATGTTTCTAGCAGCCTTAGAAGGACAGCAGTGGTTCTGCAGTTGATTAGACACAAGAAGGAATCCAACAGGAAAGTCCCCTGCAAGACTAGCAGAGGATTTGTTTAAAAAATGGGGGGGGGTGTTGGAGAATGAAAGGGAACAACCTGTCAACATGTCTGGGTCCTTCCTGAATGCCATTCTAAAGATTGAATCCTCTTGACAGCTGAGCGTGAAATTGTCCGTGACATCAAAGAGAAGCTGTGTTACGTGGCCTTGGACTTTGAAAATGAGATGGCCACTGCTGCCTCTTCCTCCTCTCTGGAAAAAAGCTATGAGCTTCCTGATGGTCAGGTGATCACTATTGGAAACGAACGCTTCCGCTGCCCAGAGACCCTCTTCCAGCCGTCTTTCATTGGTAGGTTGAATGATTATTCTGCACATAAATATCAAGTCCTTGTTTTCTTTTGATGGCATCCCACTGCTAACTCACTTAGATGCATATACGGATATGTCCTAGCACCCATTATATAATAATCTTTCAGAACAGCACTATTAATATGGTAGAACTTCATGTCAAACAATAACGCAAAATGCTTTCCCAAAATAAACCCTGAATATTTATTCCTGGCTTCTGGCATTGGGCCCGTGCCATTTTGTATGTTGTGCAGTTGGCTACTACGAGAAGCATGGCTGCAAAGCCACTTCTCTAAGTAGTGTGAGGATTGTAGTTTGAATGTGCTTGCAGGGAGGTGGTGTGGGGGGGGAAGTGCTACTCTCATTTTTCAAGGTGACTGCTCGAAATCCTGAATCCATGGTTCATCACATTTGTAGAGCAAAGCCAATGCAATGCATGCTTATCAACAGCCATGAAGGGAGACTTGCAACAAGGTCACACAGAAATCCACTGTCGGTTCTGCCAATCGGCAGAATTTCAGCTCAGAAATAGATGAAGTAGTTGCATACTTAGAGGTATTAGGACATATTTTGACTGTTCTGTCTCTGAGCTGGCTCTATTTAAAAAAAAAAAAAAAAAGTCAAAAAAAAGACAAAAAGAAAACAAATGATTCCAAGACCATATAAGGAATTCTTAGGACATTTGAGATTGCCTGCAAAAGCCTAGTGGAAACTTTACTATTCCACACCCTCAGCTTTCTTTTTAAGGAGGAGTTGTGTGCATAAGAGGGAGAGGAGGGCTGTACACCAAGGAACTCCTAAGCAAATAATTTAGGCAGCTGCAGAATGACTTTCCAGATTTCCACAGCTCTGAAGACTGATGTCTTCTAAAGAGACACTAAAGTCCATGTTGTCAGTTCTGTGTTAACAATTTTAAGTCTCTGTATGGAGTTGCTTCCTCAGTGTTCTTCTGTAACTTCCCCAGGCATGGAGTCTGCTGGCATTCATGAAACCACTTACAACAGTATCATGAAGTGTGATATAGACATCAGAAAGGATCTTTATGCCAACAATGTGCTGTCTGGAGGCACTACAATGTACCCGGGCATTGCAGACAGGATGCAGAAGGAAATAACTGCTCTGGCTCCCAGCACTATGAAGATCAAGGTATGGTGCAATTATTTGTAGACTATTTGAGTTGGCACGTACAAACTCCTCAAAATCTAATGAAACATAGCAACACTTTACAAAGTAAGTGCTTTGTACATATTTTGAATCATGTCTGTACCTCCTAGCAAATAATCACCACCTGGTAACTTTGTTGCTGGAAGAGAGCCTTCTCTCATTTCCTTGTTCATGATGAATTCTGCAAACTGCCCCAACATGGCCAAAGAAGACCCAGCAGCATAAATTTTCCTCTGGGGCTATATTTGAGCTTCTTCAGCCCCTTTTTGACTGATGGAGATGGGAGAAAGGAAATGCTCGTTTCGTCCTTGGCCTACAAGTTCAGAAAAGAAAGGGTCTCTGACAAGTCAATCTTCCTTCTGCTGCTTCAAATCTTGTTCTTTGCTTTGCAAGCATTTTATCATCTGTACCAATAAGAGTGCTCCATAGGTCACTTGTTTTTCCAAGCCCTCCTGGGCTATCATTGTATGTTTCCAGAGCAATTATCTCCCCTTTTCTCATATGCAGTCATGAATACACAAATGCACCACTCTTGCTGGGCAGACTGATTCAGGCAGAGAAATTGAGGATTTAGACTCAGACTTAAATAACAACTTTTTAACTTTACTGCTTGCAGCAAACTGTAGTTGCTAACTGTAATGCCAGGGATGACACTAGCACATAGATACAGCGTTTTTCTTGATATTGAATATCAAACGTATTTTATTCACAGTGGACAGTTGTACTTAATGCTTTTATTTCTTAAACAGATCATTGCTCCTCCTGAACGTAAGTACTCCGTCTGGATTGGAGGCTCTATTCTTGCCTCCCTGTCTACTTTCCAGCAGATGTGGATCAGCAAACAGGAATATGATGAGGCTGGCCCATCCATTGTTCACCGCAAATGCTTTTAAATTGCTTTATCTTTATATGTCTCCTTATTACTGTGAATGTATTCAGGAAAATACATTCTTATGATTTCATTCCATAAAACCTTAATCGTAATGACTCTAATTAATTGGATACTATGTATTTTTTTTGGAATAAATTTTAAATGTGCTATGAAATTGCTGCTCCTATCTGAAAAACAAACCCATTTGTGGAGGTACCGTTACAGCTAGTTTGAAGCTCCATCTTGTGACATGAATTTGTTACGACACTATACTGGGCTTAATAGAAAAAGTGGTACCTTTTGCTCAAGTATACCAGTGCTAGAAAATGCTCAGCTATCAGGCTGCACATTGTCAAAGTTTACCCTCAGTAAACATTGTATTCTGCAAACAGAACCAGTCTTGATTTTTCTGAAGTTCTGGGCAGTAGCAAAGGAGCATAGCATCTGTTTGATATCAGGATGAGCATGCGCACTCTGCTTTGTATCTGCTCTATCCAGAAATATTATCTATCCATATCACTTCTTAATTCACAGCTGCCATGCTGGAAAAGCTCATTTTTTACAGTGTGTGGCCCAGAGGTGTATGATGTGTATTACAACAATTCTGTGTGTTTTCTTTAAAGAAACAAAACCTGTTCCTTTGGGAGCATATCTAAACACTAATAGTATTAGATTGAACACATGACTTTCCTATCATATGCCCTCAGGATAAGTGCAGCCTTATTTTTATGTTGTGATTTCTGGCAAAGTCTAAAGGGTAATTAAGCTGGCTTAATACACTTTCTCTTCAGAACTGTTTTTTTTTTGGGGGGGTAATGTAATCAAAGTAGATAAAATACTTTAGACAACTGATATTCAACTAGAAGTATATGCATATAAGCTGAAGCCAGTAATACTGTCTTAAAGCATATATATGAATAAAGAATTCACTGAGACAGACCTGGAAAAGGTCAGTTCTAAGGAACTTGCTGCAATCTGTGTTCATTAGAGTTCAGGATAAAGGATGCTATTTATTTTTGTTATCTAGTCTCCTGTCTAAACTCAATTGTTTACCTCACATGCCTGTTACTCATTATCTTTCAAACTGTAAGCTCTTTGCAACAGCACCTGTTATTTACCATGTCTGCGTAAACCCTGGGTTCCGGATCTTGTCCAGCTTCTGACTGTTAACACATGTTCCAAACTTTATTGTACTAACCTTATTATTTAAAGTATAGGTCATCTTGGTTCTTGGAACAGATACTAAATAAACTCTTGTTTAAACTTTGTGTGGTTCTTCCTTCTAACGCTATCTAGATCTTTTTATCTGACTCGATAGATCCAGGGAATCTCTTTCAGGATAAGAACTTGATTTCAAATAAAAATTTCTACTAGAGGTTGCTGGAGAAGACACATTTCTCCAAGGGATTCTGATGCATCTCTGCTATGCCAAGATGTGATGAGGGTCAGCTCTCAGGTAAAGGAGTTGTGTTTTCCTAAGTGTTTTCTGCTTAATAACTTAGCTGAAACTTGAGCTATACAAGCATGGAATGGGGAAAAGGATGAAAAAAAAAAAAACAAAACACCCGAACTGATGTACTACATATCATGTAAATTCACTGAAGCAGTGAAGAAATGTACATAGCTGGAAGTGACAGAAAGCCAACCACTTGAAAATCCTTAATTCTCAGAAAGCAATTGATGCCAACAAGAGACAAAAGAAACATTACTTGTTTCAACACACTGTTGTTTGAGTTCATTTTATTGTTGTGTTTTATAGGTGAGATTTGTTTACAGATTCAGGGGTAATGCCACTGAACTCCATCTTGACAGAGCAACAAAATAACTCCAAAACAGGCTAGAGCAATAAATAACAAACCATTCAATCTAGAATGTATAAATATAAAAGTCATTTCTGAAAATGTAGGAAAAACAGGAATCCATTTTCTGTTTTGGCCATTTGTGTTGTAACATCGCTATCATCCATCTGTATCACCTCAGATCCAGCACAATTATCTTTATGTCTTTCCCAACCACATGGGTACATGGCTGCAGAAGAAGTCAACCCATTACTCACAGAAATCAGTTTCAGCAAAATAGCATATGAGGGCTATTGTTTCCTTTTCATTTTCTGAGCCTGCTTAATACTATGCCTATCTATCCAACTTTGATTGTACCTATCACTGTGTCTGTTCACAGGCAAACCTGACTGTTACAGGTATAGTCTGCTGAATAAAGCAAGGACTACAACATGCACTCAGAAATAAATTTCTAAAGAGGATATTGCTTATCAGTGCTTGGCCTGTGAAACAGATTATAGTTCTGTGCTATCCTTTATGTATCACAGCATGGGATACCTGAAATGGAGGGGGAAGGTGTTGCGTGCTGCATTAGAACAGGTGCGTGGGGGACAGCAGCAAGGAAAACATGAACTCTGTTCTCTTCCTGCAGTAGCTGGGGAGACGAACTGAAAAAAAAAAAACCTGAAGAGCTGAGGAACAACTCCCACTTGAAGCTGTGGCTTTTGCTTCTGAAAGCAGGTAAAAGTGGCAACTGATGGTAACTGCCTCTGCTTAGCCACCATTTGAATAGCAGTGTGTAACACTCATCTCATGGCTGCTATCGACTGCTTAAGTAGACTTCTGATGTCTACCTTGGTCAGTGAAGTAAGGGTAATGAATTATTAAAATGAGGAAGAAAATATAAAGAAACCTAATCTGAAACATCTCTGCTTGCAGCAGAACCACGGGCAAGAATTTGAATAGTCAAAACCATGTTGGATTATATACTTACATTAAATAACCTAGGCTCCTTTGTATGTGGATGGAATCCCTTCTTTTTACAAGCAGAAACTTCTAGCATGCCAGCATTTGTAAGTCTGAAGATGCCAGTGCTGGAAAGCAAAAGATGAAACTGCTGTTACATAGTGCCCCCATAATACAAGTCCAAGGTTTCACATACAAATTGCTTAGCTTAACAGAAGGGCAGCAGGATGGTACTCAGTAACCTTTGATACACAGGAGCTAAGGCTGGGTTGGATTCTTTTAAAGATATTTGAAATCAAGGGGAGCTGTTTTCCTGTAAAGAAAGAGATAATGAGGGGAAGGGGAGGAAAAACCACAGTACTGTTGCTATTCCCATGAGGTAGGTTAGCCTACTAAGGGCCAAGGCTAGTTCATACAGGAACAGATACAAAACAGAAACTTAGGTGTTCTGGATTGCATTTCACTCACTGAACTCTAGAGGAGCTACTTAAAAGAGAACAGCCTTTAAGCTAGCTGTGTAAATGACTGGTGAGAGTACACATCCTGCCCACTTTTAGGTAACCGAGTAATACAAAACACTAGAAAATGCACTGCTGCATGTGTATGACCTAACACTTTGAGTATGAATAAAAAGTTAGAAGACTCACGCTTCTGTAAAGAACATTAATACCTAATAACTACAGGACAGCACCTGATCAATAAATATTACAGATAAGAGTAACAGGTTAGAGTTGGTTACAGGGTATTAGCATAACTATGAAAGAAGTTTGCAAGACTAGAGATTTGAAAAGGTATGCAGACATTGTGCTCTGGGTTACAAAGCCTAGTGCTTGTGCACTTGCCACTCAACCTGTACTTACAGCTCTGCTACCTGAATGGCCCATACAGGAAGTTAGGCAACTAGACTGGGATTCATAGAAGTCATCTACACGGGCAGAAGGCCAGAAAGAAAGGCTGAAGAAATGCACAGTCTAAACGATGGAGTTAGCCCTGGGGCCTTGAAACTCCAAGCACACCAAAGCAGAGTCACAAAATTGAGGTTGGAAGGAACCTCTGATGATCGTCTAGTCCAATCCCCTGCTCCAGCAGAATCACCTTGAACAGGTTGCCCAGGACCATGTCCAGTCAGGTTTTGAATATCTCCAAGGATGTAGACTTCACACCCTTTCTGGGCAACCTGTTCCACTATAACCTTCACATTAATACTTACAGTATAGTTCCAGGTTTTTCCAGATACTTACTGTTTGTATTTTACGAAATACAAAAATAGGACCTTATTATCCAAAAAGTGATCTTTATCCCTCTACTCCCCAAGCTGCAATTTTCATACCATCCTACAGAAATACGTCTAACCCCTCCACTTCCTTCATCAGACAGAATGAAGATAGGTTTGTGGTAGGGCACTGGCAATGAGGTCTCCAGAAGAACAGCTCCCATTATTACTACTTGGTTGAGCAGAGTATAAAAAGAAATAAAATTTAAAACCTGGGGCTGGGAGGGTGGAGGAGAGACAAGCCAGAAACAATACTCTGCATATAGACTGACTGGAATGTAAGTCTAAACAACTTAAAGAAAACAAACTCACAATACAATATTCCTGCCCTTCATCCCAGTTGACGTGTGCTGTTTGCATTTGATCAAATTTTAAGATAAAGAGCAGGGGAAAATATCTAAATATTACTTAGAAAAATCAGAACTCACTCATTATGCTTTGGTGAACAAACAATTGCAATGGCCTCTGGCAACATTAGCTGATAAGAACAATGAGTATGAAGATCAACACTGGATAAGAATGCAGTTTGAGTTGGATGTGTCTACAAAAAGAAAGGGAAAACTCAACATCATGAAATATTTCTTACAAATCAAGGTCGACATACGTTCAAGAAGGAACAATAATTTGTAACAAGTGAAAGCGTCAGTACTTCCCCAGGTTGGTTTCTTAAGTTCCTATTAACCCAGATTCTACATTGTTAGGGTGGCTTTTCAGTATGAGGTTTATGGAGGCACATTCACAACCAGATGTATAAGCAATTTTCTGATCATGGGAGGAAAAGAGGGGAATGAAGAAGCACAAGACAAAGGGAAATGACTTGATTGTCCAAAATCCCTAAAAGTGAAATTAATATAAAGTTTAAACAACACAATAACCTCCCCTCCAATTTTGAACATAGTAGAAAAATAAATTGCATTAGAAAGTAATAAAATACCCCTAAATCAACATGAACAAAAGTTGCACTGGCAAAAGCAGGCCCATTGTGTCAATAGGGTGCCTCAACTTCTTTAACAAATACTCACCTGAGGAGAACATTAGTGCTCATTTACATCACTACAATTAGAATTAAGTGAATTGGGTTATTCCAGTTATTTCTTTAGTTTGTTATTTCCAGGGTTTCTTTCACATAGTATGCAGAGGTGATATAGAAGAGCCAGAATCTATGAGTCATACGTACATGGATCCAACCCAAAGTGAGGAGATCATACTGATCCTGAATACCAAATAATTCTTCCACATTCTCCATGTCGCAGTAGTCTGGTCCTGCAGATTGCTTTGGCACTATTACATGGGTAATAGTAAATTCATTATGTGTCTGTAAAACAAACATTGACTTAGAGTGGAACAAATGAACTAATGAATAAATGCTAAATCAGAATCTGAAAGATGTCAGCCTACCAGCTAAAACAAAGCAGTATAGCTCCACTGATTCCAGTGCAGCTATACTGACTTACTGCACCTGAAAATACACCTTAGCTTTTTAGCACGAAAACATATAGGGGAGTATTAGTAACAACATGAGATTGTTGGATTGAAATGTTCGCAGAGACCAGTGTGAAAAGGATGTCCTTTAAAAAAAAAAGTAAAAACATGAAAAAAAGAGGTTTGAGAATACTATAATTATTTTCTGTGAAACTGGGAACATCACAACTCTTGCTATTCTTTTTCTTTATACAATTCAAATACACTTGGACATCATCTTTAAAATTCTTTGTATGCCAGCATCAGCCATGACATCTTTCCCTGCTCTGAAAGGACACTTAATGTTATCTAGGTCAAAGAAAAAAAACAGCCTGAAAATCAGATGTTCTACAGCTTGATGGGGGGATTTTCTTCTTCTTTTTTGTTGTGCCATTATGGATTTGATGACTCTAGTAGATTCTAACAGTCTTTATATTTCATTGTCCTGTAACTAAACCTCACTTACCTTAGATGAATGCCAGAGAAAGTACTCGAAAAAGCCTGTATTGTACAGCGTGGTGAAAAACTTGCTACATTTTATAATGACAGCAGTGTAACTTTGATCAAATGTTTCCCCAACAAGGCAAGCCCACACTGCTGAAGTGACCACTCAGGTTGTAATATGAAGTTAATTACATTAAAGACTAATTGTTTAGATCTGCTTTTGCTCTGAAATGGATACATTACAGGAAAATACATAACTATTGAATATGCCTTTCCCCATACAAATGTGAGGGTTATACTGTACCAGTTTTCCACAGAGAATTCCACATGTCTCTATTCCTCTTACTGTATTTGCCTCTGCTAGCAGCAGAAATTTGTGACAGAGATCCCTGGGCAAAATGACGCCTCTGAGTGCTTCAGCCAATTGAGCTAACAAAAAAAACCCAAACAAACAAACGAAAAAAGAGGAGAGAGAGATAAAAAGGCCTTTGTAGCTTACACAGTGAAGTTCCCTAAAATAAAGAAATATACGCAGTTACAGGAAATTATTAAAAGTGAAAGAATTGTACTTACCACATCACAGATTTCTAATGAGAATAAATCTACAGCACAAGCACTTCACCCTAAATTGAGGTCACCAGTCCATGAGATATGCTCACTAGCCTGCTTCTGAGGTGACATTGAGCTGATACCATTTCCCAGTGCAGGGTGAACCACCGCACGTTCTGCTTCTGTTCACTTGAAGTCCACGGCAAGATTCAGACTTCATTCCACAGGAACACTAAGGCTCAATCTCTAGATCCACCTATTGGTACTCAACTGGAAAATGTGAAACTGTGCAACTAACCTTCTCTCTTAAAATGAAGAAACTATACGGAACTGTTGTGTGTACATTAACCTGTTCATGCTTATTTCACTATGGACATCCTCACAGTGAATAAATACATACGCATATGCAATATGTGGACTGCTATAAGCAGCAAAGAAGCAGATAAAATAAAAAAGTAAAAAAAAAAAAAAAAAAAAAAATCTCTGCACTTACTCTGAACAGCACCTAAAGTAGCTGCTGGCTTTAAGACCCGGTTTACTGGAGGTGAATGTCCAGCACAGCCAGATGTGCCGCTCCTCTCTTTTTTCTCAAGCAGTGCAGTAGATAAGGAACTGTTCTCTGGTACAGAAATACAAGATAGCATACTTCCATCTATCTGTTCAGACATAACCACGCTCTCTTTGATTTTCTGATCTCGAGCCAGCTCTTGCTTCTTAAGCTGATCCTCAAAGAATTGAAACTGTTCTGATTCAAGCTGCTGTTGCCGCATATGTGCGATTCGTTTCTTCTCTGCCTCTATTAGCTTTTGATGCTCTAGTTTCTTCAGAAATTCAGTTTTACATTTGTTCTGAAAGATATGCAAAATAGTGACATTCTCAGAACACTAAAAAAAGCTACAAAAAATGAAGGGAAAGAAGCAAACTAATAGTTTAATAAAGCCATCAAATCCTGTAATTAAAAATTAAGTCTTTTGGAACCTGTTTGCTGAACTGGCAAATACAACTATATCCCCCACAGCAGTATGATATGGAAGGAAATACAGTAAGTAACGAATTTCCTAACACAAAGCTTCCAATCTGCATACCTGTGGTGCTTTGTGTTCTTACATCAGTAGTGATACTTGCCTCATTTACCCGTTATAATAAAGTAATTAAAAAAAGACTTTTCAGAACAGTGATGGTGAAGAGACTAGACACAAGTGTAAGCCCTTGCGATTTTCAATGCAACAAGAGATCCATGAGCACATGGGTTTTCTGGGTAAATTTCATAATCCATTTTATTATCTGGTTTTGTTGCTTGTCGCTGCTGTTTGGATAGGTTTGTCGACTTTCTCCTGCTACTTTCTTTCTTCAGCTTTGGATTGCTTAACCTGGCTTTGGTGCATAGCCTTCCCAGGCTCAGACACACGAGGTGCCTTCTCCACTCTGGCCTATGCCCCCTTGTCCCCAAGCCACCTGCTGTTCCACGAACTGCAAGGGAAGCTTCAGGTTTCAAGAGCCCTTCCTGCTCCCTGGTAAAAGTGAGCATCAAGCATCTCCAGAAGCAAATAAAAAAACAGGGCAAAGTCATTTCTTAAATGTCATGAACAAAATAGAGCAGGAAAGAAAGCCCCAAACCGATCGGTGACAGGAATATGGGATGTGGGGGTTGGGTTTGGGTTTTTTTCCCCCCTCTTAATTCTCTAGGTCCGTTTCAAGCGAAGGAAAGAAAAGGTGTTTTTTCTTAGATGGTCTTTCCAAGACAAGGTTTTAAAACTACAGGTCCTGTTTTCAGTGATTTCAATACACAAGATGCAAGTATTTACGGTTACTTCAAGACTCAAAAAGGAACAATTCAAACTTGAGCACATTCAGAGCCAAGGGACCTTTTCCACGTACTCACGTAAGTGTATCAACAGTATCCTCTTTATAAAAGAAAATCAGAGTGTACCCGAGATGTATTCAGATATTTGTACACTTATTAGGTAAATATCACAGCGCATTTATTTCCAAGCACACGCTTGCATTACTTATTTTCAAATGACCAACCGATTAGATTCTGAGAAGTGAAAAGTCATTCTAAGCAGCCCGTGAAATGATTATGTTCTTGTAGAGCTGGCATTTTACCGCTTAATTTTTAAGAAGATTTATATGACAGAAAAAATATTCATACCAAAGATTTAATAACCATATAAAACTTACTTTGTTTTGCATGTATTCTTGATATTCTAAGTTATATTTTTTTAAAAGATCTCTCTTCAATTCATCTGTCCGTGGAAATGCAACCTCCTTCAATTTCTTTGGGGTGGAGGAGAAAGATAGATAAGTTTATTTTTCATTTTTTAAAAGAACCATCTGGAAAACAAACTCAGCTGTAATACAGTTTTCAAAAAATACAAAATAAGAAAAATACTGCTCTTCTCCCAGGAAAAAAAGGAATAAATACACACTAAATCATCAGCTTGTAAAACTTCTATAATATGCTACTTCAATAAAGCTATATTAATTTATATCAGTGAAAGTTGTGCCATGACTACTTATCTCAAGGAAAGATTAGTCCTTTTTCTAGCAATCTGTTATCTCTGTTTTGTTTAATAGGTGTCTGATGACTAACATTTTTGATGTAGGTGTAATTTATAAAAAAGCTACGTCGAACTTTCAATGTTTCAGGTAGGATCATCACATTTTTCTCTGGATAGAAATATGACTGATATGCCCATTTGTAGGTGGGAAGAAAAATGGTTTATTTGCAGGGATAGCTACACATGTAGCTTCCTGAGACAGCCCTGGTAGACAAAACAATTTTGTTTTGTAAATGCCCAATATTTTCTACTGATGCAGAAGCTACTACAAAATAATTTAGAGCCTGTAGGCAAGGGAGAGAAAGAGACCGTGTGCTTAATCCTACTGAGTGCAATAGGAGGGAGCATGTTAGATGCCCTTTCTCAACAGGGTTGTTTTCCTAGATTGTGGGCCACAGTCAAAATTTGGTATGAAGCATTTTAGCCTTGAATATGACATTATTCAGCTTTAACAGTAGAGAAAGCAAGCAAATATGGCAGCACAAAGCAAAAGAGACACTTATGCTACTCATTGGACAATTCCAGACATTTTAAGCTCAGTATAAGGCTGTATTTGAAATTTTTCTTTAAGGGAGG